TTGAGCCTGAGGATTTAGGTCTGCATGGCTAGTGTAGTCGTCACAGACTGCAGGGTAGAGTTTAGTGTGTGTGTACCACTGTCAGAAAAAGATCCATAATCTTGCTGAGGGTTCGAACTTGGGTCTGCCACATTGTTCTTAAGGTTTCAGCTACCACTGAACCACACAATACCCAAGAAATGGTTTCTTTATAATGGAGTATGATTTTGGCTTTTTTTTTTAAAAAGAAATTAATGCTGATACTCACCAAAAGGTGCCAGTACTCACTACATCCCCTGAGTTTTATTCGCATCACCAGGGTTTGATTCGCATCACCAAAGTTTGATTCGCATCACCAAAGTTTGATTCGCATCACCAGTGTGTAATCTACTCAAAGAAACAACTGACACCCGCCCCCTCCCCTCCCACACACACACACACACACACAAACAGACTCAGGTTTATATTTGTTATATTGTGTTCTTCCGTCTGCAGCTTCTTCCCAAGCCAGTTCCAGCCTTTGATTGCCATAATCTCCAACTCTGTGTTTAGTGGACTTGTGAAAATAAAGCTGTGCAAAAAACCACAGCGAAGGTATGATGTCAGCTCCCCTACGACCATCACAGTGACTTTACCAGGGTCAGAACCTCACGATGCAGAAAGGAGAAAGTAAGTCTTCTTCATAGTGTTCACTGGTGGTGAAAAAGGTCTGGTTGTTTGTCCACTTCTAGACTTTGGTCTTGTGTCCAGAACTTCAGTTTTGCTTGCACATCCATTTTAAACATCTGGCGTATTTTTATATGTCGGCTGCTGGTTCCTTGCCTTTCTGGCAGATGCACTCTGACTTTGACGGAAACTCCATAAATAGTCACCTTTTACTACATGCTTGTTAAATGTGGCAGTCACTTCTCTTCCCCCACAAAAAAGAGCCCAACAATTCACAGGATGAAAGAAATTTATAGTCTACATGTCATATAATTTGTTTTTCCAGAGCTTTTCAAATTGTGTCATGACACGTTAGTCTGTTGGCTGCAGTGTGGAAGTGTGTCATGCTAACCTACAGCATTTAAAAATTAAACTTAGAAAAAAAATAATTTTAATTGTTACTTGTAAATTAAAACAATAACAACAATTCTTGGAAATAGTACGTGTTTTTAGTATACATTAAAGGTTTTCGTGAGATAGGTTTTGCTTTGAAATATTTAATTATTACAGTCTATGTATTTGTGCTTATCTCTTATAAGGGGCTAGATTAATACCGCAGGTTTGCTAGTAGACTGAATTACTGTGTCACAAAAATGTGTCTGTCTAAAAATTGTGTCACCAACATTAACAGTTTAGAAAGCTTTGATCTTGATATTTGACTTATAGTCTTAACTCTTTCACTCCTAGACACATTATACTTTAACTCGTATTATCTTTAGTGTTTGCTTGCTATTCCAGATTTGTAGCTGATTAGAAGGAGTTCAAATATTAACAGTATTAAACAGGTTGAGCGCTTACAGAGCAAAAGGCTCAAAGAGGCATGTTGTACAATGAGTTAACTCTTTTTGTAATCTTCTTCTTCATGTTGGCCAGTGTAAACCAGTCTGCAGAAAGTTGTAGTTGGTCCTTCACTTTTGGACTTTAGTCTTGTTCCAAGAGTTGAGTTTTGCATGCACATTTGTTTTACAAATCTGGCTTATTTGTATGCAGGCTGTTAGTTCTTTGCCCCTCAGGCAGATGCACTCTTTGAAGGAAACACCTCTTATTTGTCACCTTTGCCGTGCTTGTTGTGGGAGCAGTGGGTCTGTTCTTTGTTCTTCAAAATGGAGTTCCAGAACCCACATGGGGGTCGTTGCGACTACAAGGTGGAGATATATGAGATTTGCAGCACAGAATTTGATACCTGCCAAGGGAGATGACACTGTGAAGAAGCATAACTATCCATGCCAGTGGCAAGGCACATGATGACGTTGACTGTATAGTGTTTTTTTTCAAACACGTGTAGATATACAACATGTAAAGATATAAAACCTTTATCTGAACTACTGTTTAGTAGTAATTAAACACCACCCATTGATCGCCTGCGAATCTGAAGGTCGTGTGTTCAAGGTCCTGACATTGCCAGACTTTTTCCAAAAATGATTTTGGCTCCCAGATCAACCCAGCCTTGAATGGGTCCCAGGTAAAGTCCTGGGAAGTAAAGACAGCTGGCATGATGTTGACCACATCACCTACAGAGTGCTGATTAGTCTGTAGAATATAGGTCTAGCCCTATCCTTTACATTAGTTTTACTTAAACACTACTCATCTATTTCCATGCAGACAACTCGCACTGAAAGCTCTGAATGAAAGGCTGGGAAAACCAGAAGGCAACCCTAATTGGCCGACACTAGATGATGATAGTCCAGCCAGCCCTGCAACAGTCCTGCTCAACCCCACACTCTCCCAGGAGGCCACCAGTAAAGCCTCTGCAGCAACTAGTTTGTCTATTTCTGACACTGCTAAACACGATCCAACATCAGCAGAAATGGTCTGAAGTTTATGCCTCTTTATATTTATAATTGCGAGATCAAGTGATTTTGTGTGATCCTATTTGAAACATAACATTTACTAATGGCACATTTGTTAATAAGTTCATGTTGAGAAAGTTTTTTTCTTTTCTTTTTTAATATCCATATATTTTTATTTCAGTTTTCCAGAACTTTATGAAATAAATTGATGATGTAAAATTATGAACATGATGTTAACGAAAATCCAGTTTGTAATTATAGTGCTTTATAATTATTGGAAGAGGATTTATATGAATTTGTTTGTTTTCATCGCTCATGAAACTGTCAGGCATAATAACATTCACTGTTTATATTCTCGATAAATTTCTACCAGATAACAGAATAATAACAAGATCAAATTGAGAGGATTGACTTTATTACACCGAGTACTAAATGTAGTAGAGAGACCCCATGTGACCGGTTGGCATTGCAGTGGAAACCAAGCTGTGTGGAGAAGTGGAGGTCATGTGTCATAGAAGTCTGTCTCCATCTGACGGGCCATGCTGCTGACATCACCAATCCGGGCTAACGATAGGTCAGCAGCATGGCTGCGTCAGATGGAGACGGTCTTGTGTCGTACCACAAATTTAATAAATGGCTGAGGTCTTTTCATCTGAAAACCGTAGCAGGGAGAACAAATAGAAAAAGAATAAGGTACAAGAGTTGTTCCCACAAGGCTCAGTCTCATAAGATGTGTGTGTATTGTCCATCAGGATGATGATGACCACTCTTTTTCTTCAAGTATGAGTACGAAGATGAGGCCAATGCGGGCCCGAAAAATTCTTGGACAGTGAGGACAGGGAATGAGTGTTAAGCCAGGAAGGAGATCTCCTGCAGTCTCCTTTCTGTCCATCCTTTTCTTAATCAGTCTTGCTGTTCTATTTGCTTCACATGTTGCCTTGTGTAGAGTTGCACACCATGCATTTCGGTCTTGAGAGGCAGCCTCCCAAATGGTGTCATTCATTCCAAATGCTTTGAGTGAAGACTTCAAGGTGTCTTTAAAGCGTTTCTTTTGCCCGCCCTGGGAGCGTTTCCCATTCTGCTGCTCACCATAGAAGAGTTTTTGGGGAGCCTGTGATCTGACATGCTTGCCACATGACCAGTCCAACGAATCTGATACTGCATCAGTAGAGGGTGGATGTTGGGCATGGCTGCTTTCTCAAGGACTACGGTAATCAGATACTTTGTCTTGCCATCTGATCTGCATTAGTTTTCTAAGGCAGACTGTGTGAAAGTGGTTTAACTTTCTGGCCTGGCGCTGGCATACAGTCCATGTTTCGCATGCGTACAGCAGTGTAGTTAATACAACTGCTCTGTATACTTTAAGCTTTGTCTGCAGGGTTGTGCCACTTCTGTTCCAAACATTTTTGCTCAATCTGCCAAAGACAACGTTAGCCCTAGAGATCCTTGCATTTACTTTGTCATCAATTGGGGTGCTCTGTGAAAGGGTGTTCCCTATATAAGTAATTTTCCTTACAACATTTAATCATCTGAAGATGTAGCCTTCTGCTGAGAGGGTCATTTACAGCACCAACTCCAGTGGTGTTCCATAGGGACTTTGGAACATGAGGCAGTCAGCTTTAACCACTTAGCGATAGAGACCTTGTTAAAAGAATAAGGGACTAGGGACATAAATTTAAAGTCTTTCATTCCAGTTCGGGCACCAAGGCCCCATTAATTGGGGGAAAAGAAGAGATCAACAGTGTTTCCAAAAATTTTATCAGTAGGGGTGCCTTTTTTCCATTAATATTCTTCCACGGTGCCCTTACCTAAGTAAAAGTATGACTATTCGTATGTAAACGATTTAAAAAAAAAATTGTGTATCTTCAAATATTTAATGGTACTCATGTAAAGAAGTTGCGGCTCCCAAGGTCGCAGCGGCGCACAGTTTGGAAATCACTGCTGTATGACATTAACACAAGCTACACAACTAGCAAAAGACAGGAAACTTCATCGAACTCCTCTCTGCAATGCTTTAAGGCTTAAACATTAGGGGGCAAAACCACTTTAGTTACCAGACAACTCAGTGTAAGTTCACTGACATGTCCACGTTATATACTGTCTTGTGACTTTATTTGACCATAGAAAGATGTTACATTCATTTAATATTTGTGAATTGTTAGCTTTATTTCTCTGGTGAAATTATTGAGCTGTTAGAATGATGAGGTTTTGTTGATGAGATCTGAATCCTCTGTTAAAAAAATGCTAAACTAAACAGACGATGGCAATGCATTAGCCATACGACCCTGCCTTAAGCTGTTAAATTATTATTATTCTGTGATCACCAGCTATGGGCTTCGCAGGAAAGTTCAGGTTGTTTGTCCATGTCTGGACCTTGATTTTGTTCCAAGACGCAACTGTGGCATTTTACAGATCTTGCTTATTTGTGTGCAGACTGTTGGTTCCGCTCATCTCAGGCAGATGTACTCAGGTTTCAAAGGAAACATTCCTATGTATGTTAGCTAGCTTCTTAATAAGGAATCTGTTTTAGAATTGTTTATTATATGCTGTTTCTAGGATTACCTGAAAGAGGTGTAGATTAGTCTTGAGCAGTTTGAGCCTGGTCCTGGAGCAGCATTATCACACAAGCGATAAACACCCAGTGACACAAAGTGCCACCATGGAGATGAGGGTCACCCGTGGAGAGGTCCCGGAAACCCCGTTCAGCCATATTTGAGGAACAGTTATAGTTGGGGCTTTTGGCAAAAGTCAGTGTGGGACTCTAAACTAGTAGAAGTACATTTTACCCCTCTAGGGGACATCACACAAGGGACACAAAGTGGCACCATGTGGATGAGGAGCACCCGAGGAGAGGTCCCATAAACCACGTTCAGCCATAAGCCACATTTATGGCTGGGCTATATTGCGGCCCCTGGCAAGAGCCAGGGTGGGGCTTCAAAATAACGAAAAATTGCTTCCAACAGTATGTTTTGCTAACTAGAATTAGTAGAACAGTTTACACCACTAGGACATCACGCAAGCAATAAACACCCAATGACACAAAGTGCCACCATGTGGATAAGGAGCACCCGAGGAGAGGTTCAGGAAACCACATTCAACCATTAGGCCATAATTATTGCCGGGCTATATTGAGGCCCCTGGCAAGAGCCAAGTTGGGGCTTCAAAATAATGAAAAATTGCACTCCACAAGGGGATCATTGTTAATAATGTGTAACTCTAAAATAACAAAAGATTATGTTCTAAAAGGGGGTGACTTGATGCAAAATAGTTTTGATCTGCACTGTAAAACAAAGAATACCGTGTCTGAAGTTTATTTGTTTTGTAATGCCGTTATGCCGGATTCGATCCCAGCTGCGGGCCATGTGCCTTGCGTTGGTTTCGAAAGTGGTATCAAGAAAGCCGACCGTCCAGAAAGCAATGGCAAACTACTAGACGTAAATTTGCCTAGAAAAACCACACAACAGCCAGGGACTGTTGGGGTTGGTTCTTCAACGTTCTGTAAAGGATACGCAACTAACCAGTTTATATGTTTTTTTTTTTTCAAACTATAACTTCTGCCAGTTGGCATACGCTTCACAGGTTAAATTTTCAAATGATACATTATGGCTAAAATGTTAAGTTAAACAGTGACATTAGCGGCCAGATCTAAGTAAACTTTTTCTGGAGGCATCTCCCTTTGAATGTATAGTTTTTTTTTCATATTGCATCTCTTAAAAAACTCATCAAGGGCAGTAACCAAACATATGGGAGCGATGAAGACAAAGGTGAAGTACTGAATAGGTGAAAACAATTTTCTTTAACTATCCTGGGCGAGGCCGGGCAGTTAAATCTAGTATATACATCAGTGTTTTTTTTTTGTTAAACCTAGTTCTTATTTAGATTACTTCATACGCAAACATTAGATGCTTCTGTAGAAGAACTTCATTGTGTTCATTTATTGTCAGGTTATACCAATTATTTGTCACATAAGGCTCACAGTTTATTCCTCCATTAGGTTCCATCCTGTGCTGTCTCTTCAATATCGTGGATGGAATCCAATCCAACACTCTTGGCTTATCTAATCAATGTGTTTCGTTTGGCCGCCCTTGCTTCCCCAGTTTGCTTCTTTGCAAAGAAATAGTTTTTATAATTACTGGCGAGGGCTCAAAGAGTTAAGGCAGATGTTCATGTTATAAGATATTCAAGTAAAGACCGCCATTTCTCCAAGTCAGTTCCCAGAAATAATTTAAATAATTACCTGCCGGGTCAGAAAGGGTTAAGGGTTATTGTTCATATTAAAAGATGTTCAAGACTGTCATTTCTCCAAGCTGTTGTTTCAACTGCTTAAACTCAGCTCTGAGTAAAATTGCTCCTGCCTTTGCCTTCTTTGGGAATTGCAGTACCAAAACGGCTAGACATTTGCTTGTTAGTTTGAAGGTCTTAGATTCAAATTCACATCAAATCAGATTTGGAAAAAAAAAAAAAAAACCTTGAATAGGTAGCAGATAAAGTCATAGAAAGTAAAGGCCTCTGGCGTGATGCTAATCGCATCACCTATCAAGGGGTGATTGTTCTATAAAAATATGTTGGATTAAAGAATCAACATCACAGCACTCAGGACACTTCCATAAGCGCTCCATCTCCATCTTCAGCAGCAATCCAAGAATTCCAATTCCAATGGCACCAGTAACTTTCTGATTGTACATCAGTCTCGCCCTTGCCCTGAGTGTTGAGCGTCTGCCAGATCCCCTGATAACAGCGCGACTCTTCTCAGACCATAATGATGTATCTGTGCCTCTGCACTGTTCACTCGCTCCCAAGGGGCCCTCACAGTATCCAGCTTGTTATTATAATTTGAGTCTAATATTGTAAGCCTGTAGTGCCACTGGCTTGAAAGAGGTTAGAAGAAACAGAAGCCGTCTTTACCTGCTGATGTTTTCTTTTATGCTGAAACATTTGACCGTCTTGCCCATCTCATACATGTTAATCAGTTTACACACAAAAATTGAGTTGTGCATCCTTTACAAGAAGTTGCAGAACCAACCCT